CTTGCAACGCTTACACCTCTTTCAAAGCTGTCAAGGTTTATATCGCTTTCAACGCTTATATCGCTTTGAACCCTTACACCACTTGCAAAGCTTTCCTCATTAAAACAGTTCCACTGTTGTTTTGACATGGCTCGCTTTTCCGTCGAGACTTTGTGCAGCCATGTGTCGGCGGTGTGTACAAAGGGCAGGGACGTAATCAATGCAAGCTGATGACTCGACAGCGACACCACCCAGCTCTTTGCACTTTCGTGATGGGTTGTTGTAGGCTGTGGGTCGTCGGCGGCGTACTTGCTGCAAAGCCTTCCCATGCACAACGCAGCATGTCCATCGGATACGTACTTTCATAAAGTAGAGGTAACAGCAAGTCGGGGTGCCCGGCAAACCGAGCGACGTGCGGTGCTGCCGACACCCCTGTGACCATGGACACCCCTGTGACGACATACGGCCAGCACATGGCTGCAAATGGCGCCACGAATCCAAAGCAGCTCAATTCTTCTGCCTTTCGTGGACAAACTCGTGGTCGTGCCACAGCTGCTTGGTCGCCGTCTGGGGGGGACTCAGCAGTCGCGCCGTGCCAGTGCAACTCATTTTTTATCTGGAGATATTTCATGATTTGGAACTGTTCTACGAACATCCACTCCAAGCGCGTGACCCCCCTCTCCGACGACGACGGGCGGTTGCATTGTTGATTTTGTCGTGGCCATGGCAATCGTGGGTGTCACTGTGTCCGTCCAGAGCCAGGAGGGCACGACCGAGAACCTGATGATGCTCACTGTCGTCGTCGCCATCCCTTTTACAATGTAACAACTTTGGCCGTCGTTGATGCGAGCAACAACGACGGGCAAATCCTCTACTATTTTGGGATGCGATTCCCGAGCTGCTGGACATTGATGGAGTACGATGAGGCTGTAGCCGACGGCGGGGCGCTGCCCAACCGGACGGGAAGGAGGACGAGGAGCGATGCTTCTCCGTACTGCGCTTCATGCTCTACCCGTGTGAGCTATACTCTTACTTGATAAATAAGGAATAATAACGCTTTGGTGCTACCGTGTGTGAAGGGTTTGGCGCGATAGATATTTGTATCGTTTGCTCAGCCCAATCAGAATCAGCGGCTTCCCTTGCTCGCTTTTCAAGGACTACATAAATATTCAATAATAACATTCACTCAAAAATCATAATAACTACATACCTTTTCGAGTCAAGCCTAGGTCATGCATCTTCGCGCTTTCACTTCTCGTCACCAATTCCAACTCGCCACGTCAATGCTGGAATCCGAGCTTTGGACACCGAGTCCTAAATATCACATCGCATGATCTTGCTCTTATACACAGCCTACGGTACGTACAGTCTGGAACAAAACTATAGCCGCACCCCAAAATTTTCACGAACTCGACGGCGTGCCCACCGTAACGGACTTTATCGATGATCAGCAATATGCAGGAATCGACTTTTCACTTCGGCGATCTTGACCACGCCGTGGACTCCGAAGTGGGAGGCCTTCTCGTTGAATGTGAATCAAATCATACAAACGTCACATGCAGTCGCGTCGATGAGTTACACAAGATGCGAGATGAGCAGCGCGGGCAGCAGCGTGGCAAGCAGCGAGGCAAGCACGTATGGCAGCAGCATCGCGGACAGCGTGCCAAGTAGTATGAAGAACACGCATACAAAGAACCAGTCGGAAGCGCGGCACGGTCATTTGCGTCAAAAAGTTTGACGTGCTTTTCAAGTGTACGCGTACCCCACCAGTGCATCCGTAAGGTCGAGTCGGATGTTGTGGACGACATCTCCATGGGTCACTGCATGCTGTGTCGGTACGGAGATGGGCTCGTCTTCTTCGGAACTGTCGACAAGTTCCAAACAAATCATTTTGTTGGGTTGGTGGTGCCACTGACGAGGCCACATTCAAACTGACACAATATCAATTGGTTACGGGCGACCGGTTCAAACCAGCATCGAAGCGGCCATTGTCACCACGAGAGTTGTTTCGCGACAGCCGCGGGGGCGCCATAGATGGAGCAATTCACCTCGGCCTTGCGCTCGTTCAATGCCTTGCCGGCCTTCATGATGAACGGCACGCCGTCCCACCGAGGGTTCTTGATGTTCATCACAAACGACGCAAACGTGGGCGTGACGGACCCCTTGGGCACCGTCGACCTCGGATTGATCCAGGCTGTTCGTAGCTCGGCCAATCGCTCTGAACCCTTACACCACTTAACACCACTTGCAACGCTTACACCTCTTTCAAAGCTTTCAAGGTTTATATCGCTTTCAACGCTTATATCGCT